TATTTTCTTTATCATATTTTCAACATAGTTCAAGTATATGAAAGGTTTTAGTTTTTAAAATTCAATTTTATAGATCAACATAAAATCAGAAAACTTATTTATTAAAGCAATTAAATATCCAATTTTTTTGGTAAGCATGTATACGACAATATGACTCGAGTTCCATATTAGAAATGAATCATTTAATTATCTAATTTACCTACTTTGGATTGTACAAAAAGTTGAATAATTGAGTACTTCTATTTATTTTAAGTTATCTGAATTAATCTATTTTATTCACTCTCTTCGCCAATTAAGTTTCACCACACCAGAGTACTTTCCAATAAATCTATAAGTCTATGAATTATTTGAATATTTATGAACAAATAATAACATGGAAAGCAAATAAACATACGCAATTCCAAAAAGGATAAAACTTACCAAGAAGGTTAAAAATTAATGATAAAATAATGTTGATGAGCTAAACAATATATGCAGAAGTTTTTTGGTGAAATTTTTTAGTTGAGATATTATTTAAAAAATATTGGCAATCAAAAAATTTTTAAAATCCGGGACAATCCGGGACAAATATCTAAAACCGGGACAAATATAGCTTTTAGAAAAAACGCCGGAACGCAAGCCGAACATCGGACTGTCCCGTCAATCCGGACGTATGGTCACCTTAATTATACAGACTTTCTAAATGTACCAATAGACTTTTTGATATGTTCAGAAACGGTAGCCTTTTTTGCTATTTGGTAACCTTTAAGATGAAGAATAAGAATAACAGGTGAATTTGATTTGTCACTCCATTCATAAAAGCTTTTTTATCCTCTGCCTGTATATATACAGATTGATCACTTTGTTTATTATTTTACTGTAAGTTGAACAGTAGTTAATTACCACAAATGATTTTGTAACATGTATATGTAATTACATATATTTTTTCTTTTTGGGTTAAAATTAAACAAATGAAAAATCTATCTCATCTAAAACAGAATACGAAAAAAGCAAAGGTAGCAAAGGTAAAGCAAAATTAGGAGCATTTGTCCTAGAACCACACAGGTCTACTGCGTCGACTTGTAGCACCGCGTAGGATATATCTCAGAGCAGGATATGTATATATAGGATAAATAACTTGCAATTTGAGCAAAACAAAAAAATGATTGAATTTTTAAAATGCGACCCCATTGTATGGAATCGTCGTAGATCTGTGCATTTGTCCATATCTCGTTGCGTTTGTGTGGGATTGTGAAAATGTCGAAGTGTGGTACTGTCCCGTCCAGTCAGACGGCATTCCACAAGCTGCGCGATGTTGCATCCGACAAGAAACTCTTTTTTTGTGAGTTCGAACGCACGCTGCCATATCTGAGAAAAAAGATATACCCACTTCACCTACAGACAACTCACCGCATAATATGAGCCATCCGACGAACTATATGCTGTACTCATTTTTTATACAGAAGACAATTACTTTATCCGAGTCAAAGGTGATTCTAACTTGGCACCAAGGATTGGACTTCTCTTAATAATACAATAAAATATATTGAATTGATAAAAAATCTATATACCTTTTAGCAACAATGACATTTTACCATAAACAAAGACGTACCGGGTATAATCTCAGGGTTGAAAGTAAAAGGAATTTTGGTACTGATCCATAGTCTCATCCATCCCTCCGACCTCCCAAGTGTGGTGCACAAGTTTGCCAAAAGTCTAATAATTTTACTAATAGATAATATCAGTCAATACCGCAGTAATATACAAGCCAAAGACTTTGCATCAAATTTAGAATTAATGTAGTTTTGTAAATAATGTTTTATAGGAAATATTAAATTGTACTTTGGAATAATTAGTTACAAGTATGGCACAATCAGTAAATAAATTTTAGTACAAAATTTTAGAAGCTTCGGACGACCGAGTCGCTAAATATCTTAAGATGAAGTGAAAATGCGACTAGTGATCTAATTATAATTCGTCAGAGTATAATGTCCAATATTTAATTTTAGGTATTTTTTCTTCATGATAGAGATCAATCATTTACATACTTCTTTGTCTCATATGATGATCGATGAATATGCTATTTAATTCCATTTATTACCACTTAATATTTCTCGTTAGAGAATATTGTTCGGACGTATTTTTTTATTATATTGACCATAAAGGTGACAAACTTCAGGGCATTAAGCTTTACACGGAATGGTTGCTACCCCTGGTAGAGGGGGTAGCGGAGTGTTTTAATTGAAACTAATTGTTCACTTCTAAAAGTAAAGTCCGCTTAACAACATGTAAATAACCAATAAAAATAAATATTTCGTCTTTCATTATAACTTAGTAACAAATCAGTGATGGTAATTAGAAGTGCAACAAATACATAATATACAAACAAATCAGTGTTTAATACAGTCCACAGCTACAAGGGTTAAATTATAACCCAACAAACTGAATTATCGAAGGAGAGTTTTAATAAATTCTATAACTACGTTAGCAAAAGTACAAATATTTTATATAATTTCATTTCAAATGCGATGTCCGAAATTATATATCATAAAAAATGATGTAACTTAAATAAACATTAAATTTTTTCTAGCAATACATGTGTTAACCTTTTGGCTACAATTTTATACTGAAAGCTCAAACAAAATATTGATAATAATATGGTTCCGATTATTTCCTTCAGATTCCCAGTCTAAAAAATACCTGCCTCAGTGTGATCCCGAGTATTTAATTATTATGAAAGATGTATAAAGATTGATATGTTTTCGACGGAGCCGATTTTTGACAAAGGCTTAGTATGTGGAGTCGATGAAAGCGCTCTCATATAAAGAATTCTATTGATGCAAGTGTCTGCATTCATTATATTTTTTATATAAATGAATTTCTTTAAAAGACTTCTGAGATTTTCACACATAAATCAATAGGGAAATGATGAAAGATCGGTAGCCGTAATACACAGTGGCAACTAATGGACTGTATATATATATTTGAAGATGCTTTAGGAATTAATGCAGAATTAAACTATTGAGAGAATTTTTTCCATGGTTTTACTAGATCAAATTAAAATAATGTAGTGATTCCTGCTCTTTTTACACATTTATAAACTGCTTCCATACAATTAACTATTTTCCGATTAAAATTGTATCCATATTTAACATTAAACCAGTATTTATTAATACAGTTATGATAAAAATAAATAGTAGTAATATTGAGATCGATTACATTGTCTTTAGAGATCAATAATCAATTCACCACGAAGTGCAAGAGCTTCGTTAATCATCACGAACGCATAATCTAAATAATTTATAATATAATATAAACGTGAACCAATCTTGTTTATTTATCAGAATGTTGCTTTATATAAATCAATGTCACAAGCCGGTACGACTTAATTTAACAATAATACCATTAAAGATGCTCAACTTCTTCTTTGATGAAAACTTCGTGATTGATTTATAAAGGCTATTGACAGACAATTCTTAATGGATTCTTGAAATATTAAGGTTGAAATTAAAATTTGCGAACGTGTGTCACTTATGTATAAAATTCATCTCTAGTTAACAACAAAAATTATACCCATCTCTATTTCTATATATAAATAATGAGCAGTACAGCCCTAGGGCACGTTTGTAATCTGGTCTAAACTCCAACTCAATTCAGGGAAGAACGGTGTGAGAGATTTTCCATTTCACACCGAAATGAGAATTTTCAATTGGAAATGAATTGTTGATCTATATTTTCAAGTAAAAATAG